TAAATTAAGTGTATTTGCCCTTAATATGAGCAGGTTAATGAGACAGTTTGCCAATGGAATGAGTATTTTTACTCTTAAAATAAGATAATTAGATAATATGCACTTGAAATAAGACAATGCAGTTGTTTTTTCTTATTTTAAATGTAGGTCAATCTAAGAACTACGGAAGAGGATTAGGGCCACTGAAAAAAAAAAAAAAAGTAAACTGATTTTTAAATTTTATTTCAGTTTAACATGGGAAAAAAGACTTTTTTCCCATACTATACTGAAATAAAATAATAAAAAGTTAACTTTTTCTTTTTTTTTTTTCCAGTGGCCCTAATCCTCTTCCGTAAAGAACAAATGCACTTATTATAAGAAAAAATTACTTATCTAGATTTGGTTTTTTTCCAGTGACTGCTCCCCAACTGATGGGTTAAATGCAGAGGTTGAGATCAATAAAGCTAAATTATTATATCCATCTTCTGTAGATTTTAGTTTAAATCCAAAACTTTCATCAGATAATAATTTAGAAAAAACAAACAAAAGCAACAGATATTTGCTTTGTTTATCTATTATAGGGCACAGCATATTAATTAATTGTTTTTGAGTTAATTGTCCAACAGCTAAATGGGAGGAGCTTCTATCAGCACTTCTTTTTGACCACAAAGATCTCTGACTTTTCATTTAGAGGAAAGAAACAGACCATATATACTTTTCGTTTTTTTAAAAAATAGCATGTTGTAAGAAAATAAAGACATTTAAAATAAAGTTCTTTGAGCTGCTTATTTTGCAGAAGAAAATGAGAGAGCGCAGCTTTGAGAGGGATGGAGTCTGATTTCACTCACTGAGGAGAAGCTGCAGCAGGTTAGAGTTCAAATCCATAAACCTTAAATTATTAAACGATACTCAGGTTTTCATTGCTGACCTCAGTCAGTCTGTCTTTATTGTTTTTCTCTTTGTTATTCGGTCATTTCTAGGAGGTTTTACTGCTCGCCGTCTACGATTTCCTGTCTGCATTTCAGTCTCACATGGATGAAACTGTAAGCTTCTGCAATGGTGTAGATTTCTAACCCAATGTTATCATTCTGAAGGATTTCTGCCATCAGCAGCAGGAAAGCAGATCAAATAAAGATTTATTTAACCAACATCTTTACTAGTGTTAGCAGTCAGAGTTCTGGTTAAATTAATCTTTAGTTGCTGGTTTAATTCAATTATGTTGTATATTTTTAAGACAAAATCCTGATTCATGATTTCTACTAGTATATTTGTGATTGTATTTGTATATTTTTTAGGAAGGAGATTTCCATCAAAGATCAGTCAGAAAATTATAATTTTGCTTTCTGCTCTGAGTCAAGTTTAAAAACCAAAAAGTTCTCGAGACTTTTGCCTTTTAGCTCATTTAAACTCTTCAAACCGACTTTAAACAGTGAAACAGCAATAATTTCTTTATGTTTTCAACAAAAAAGTAGATTTTCCAAGGATTTAATTAATGACAAAAAGCAACTTTTATGTGATTTTAAGATGCAGTTTTATCTTATGGTTCATCATTCTTTTAAATATTCTCATTTTATTTGAAAATGTCCAAAAGGATCTAATTAAACCAGCAACTAAAAGATAAATAATTAAGAGAATTAAAATAAAACAGTTACTATTCAATATATATGTTAAAGATTATAAATATTTTATTGTTTAAAGTATCCAAACTAAAGAAATCTGTTAACATTTTTAAAGAAACGTAACCGTACTGACAACAATTGAGCTGCGTTTTACTATTTTCTCCACAAGGGGGCGACAACACACCGATGGATTTAATTTTTACACCTGTTTTTTTTCACCAGCATCATCAGAACCTGACTGAATAATTAGACTTTAACAGACAGACTGTATTTACTGTCCAGTTTATGAAAAAACATCAACTTTTTCAGTTTTTTTTTTGGTTTTCTCCCCTGATCTGGATATTTAGCTGGACGCTGTACTATGAAACAAGATTTAAATAATTAAATTCAGTTTATTTCTATAGCGCCATTTCACAACACATGTCATCTGAAGGCACTTTCCAGTTCACCAGATCATCCAGTATAATTAATTCAAAGTTTCCTATCTAAGGAAAACCAGCTGATTGCATCGACTCATTGACTCTTCAGCAATCCCTCACACTAAGCATGCTTGTAGCGACAGTGGA